TGGGTCTCCCCACCTTCCCCCCGCGGCTTGGATCCGGCTTGGATCCGCCCCGCGGGGGCTACCTCGGGCATGGCTAGACTCTTGGGAGTCCAGCCATGGCAGGGCTAGCCCTCGCAGGTCCGATCCAAGCCACGGGGGGAGGGTGGGAGAGCGGGGGGATCCGAGCCTCGGCAGTTGCCAAAGAGCCCGGCCATGCCTTCCACCCTTCCCCCATGGCTGGGATCCAAAAAGTGGGGAGAGGATTGGAGGCATGGATGGTTTCTTCGGCAGCCACTGAGGCTTGGATCCGAGCTTCGGCAGTTGATATTTCAAATAACTAGGAAAAAAATATATAAAGATATGTCTTTACTGTGATTTTGGTTACAAACATTTCCTGGACTCCTCTTTCAGAGACCACCCAACCAGTGTCTCTCACAACCTGGCCTGACGAAGGATTCTATTGCAATAATCCAAAGAATTTAGAAAGCAATGGTTCCACAATATTTCAAATAACTAGGAAAAAAATATATAAAGATATGTCTTTACTGTGATTTTGGTTACAAACATTTCCTGGACTCCTCTTTCAGAGACCACCCAACCAGTGTCTCTCACAACCTGGCCTGACGAAGGATTCCATTGCAATAATCCAAAGAATTTAGAAAGCAATGGTTCCAAAGCCAAGACAAGTGCTTTCTGTATACTTGTGTCCTTGTTTCCAATTTGTGACTAGTAAGGAAAACAAGGCAGGCCTCCTATGTTTTGGGTGCAGGGCCAACAGTACCTGGGCCACTCTTTGTGATGTCCCTTTGTGATGCAATTCATCATCTCCATAAACCTCTGGTCCAGGAGAACAACCATCCATCTGGTGGGTGACCAGCGCTCAGTTAGCTGTGTTGATCCAGTGATGGAGAAGACCCAGCGCAAGCTCCTGGTTGCTCTTAGGAAAATGTTGGCAGCCCTAATCAGATATCTCATCTTTCTTCTTGTTATCACTTTGATAACATTATGGTTTCATTTTAATATCCTTTTGAAACTTCTGCAGACTTTTCCTTTGGTTCATATTATGTTTGAGTCCATGAGGAGGCACTTTGCTACAACCATCTATTTGGTGGATCACGCGCGCTCTGGCAGCTGTGTTAATCCAAGGATGGAGAACACCCAGCACAGGGTTCCGGTTGCTCCCAAGGAAGCCTTTGCAGCCCTAATCAGGTACCTCATCTTTACTCTTATTTCCTTGTTCATAACATTATGTTATAGTGTTATCCTCTTGAAACTCCTAGAGTTTCACTTTTATTCAAAAAATCTGTGAATCAACCAAGAGATATTTCAGGTGCCTCTTTGCTGTCTGTGAAATGCCACCCCAGCTTTCCAGCGCCCAAGTGAAGGTAGGTTGTTGCATTACTGTTGTTGGCTTGCTTTCCATAGTAAATAAAATTCATAGACACAGAAAGCGTATCTAGTGTTCGTTCTCTACAAAGAGAAAATTGGAAAACGGGCTTTTGCTAAAAAGACATGGGAACATAGTTTTTCTTTACTCTCATTAATGCTGGCCCTTTCTCTTCATCTTTCTCTTTATTGTAGCTCCATCAGCAAAGACCGGCAAAGGGGCATGTGTCTGAGGGTGCAAGGATTGGGAGAAAAGAACAGGGGACAAGTCTTTCCACCCTCATTGAAGTCTGGCATCCTCCATTACTGAGACTCAGCACCGAAGAAGACCTGGCAAGTAACTTGGAAGAGAACTGCCCAATGTAGGACGGGACTTCCCAAATGGGTTCTGCAGCCCCCCACCATTTTTCTGCCTCCTAGAGCCCCTTCCAATGTGCAGTTGGAACAAGCACACCCATGGCTTCCTTCCCAAAGGAAATCTTTTTGCGTGGTTACGGATCATTGTCAGAGGGAAGATGGTGACCGTGAAGGCCCACTGGAAGAGGATCCAACCTGCAGAAGGGAAAGAGAGCAAGATCACAACACACTAGACACACGTCTATCCCCAGGAGAAGTGAGAATTGGTGTCAAGAAGACATTAAAGAAAAAGCTGTCACCAGGAGAAGTGAGAGTCGGGTTCAAGAAGCATTGGCAATTAAAGGAAGCCACTGTTGCTTCCCACCAGCTCCTCTTTTTGCCACCAAGTTGGAAGGCCAACAGAGGAGAGGATCCAACCTGCAGAGGGGAAACAGAGCAAGAGGCGAACATACCAGACACAGGTCTATCCCCAGGAGAAATGAGAGCCGGTGCCAAGGACAAAGGACAGACAAAACTATCCCCGGGAGAAGTGAGAGTCGCTTCCAAGAACCATTGGCGATTCAAAGAAGCCACTGTTGCTTCTCACCAGGTCCTCTCTTTGCCACCAAGTTGGAAGGCCAACAGAAAGGCTAAAGAACCAGAGGGGAGATACTCCATTCTATTCTCAAAAGAAAGTGAAACCTCTCACTCGGTTTCGGCAAAGCAAGGGGAGGAAGGTTCTTCTTTGCTCTCAGAGGTCAGCAAACCCCAGAACTCTGGCTCACTCCATCGTTTCTCATATTGTCCCTCTGGGGACAATGATGTTCTCCACTATGGTTCCTCAAAGAAGATGGAAGAAGGCTCCTGTTCTCTGCCTTTCCTGGCTTATCCAACCCGAGATTGTTTAGAAACACAGGAATCCCAGAAAGAAGATGCTGCAGGCCAAGGCCCCTTTATCAAAAATGATCACTACCCATCATTTTGGACCACTGGAGGGGGAGACATCACTAAATCTCAAAAACGCCAACTCATGGAGCCCGTGGGAATAAAACAGAAAGCCAAGCAGGTAAAGGACCTATTCAAGCCATTGCACTCATTATTTGCAGGCATGAAAAAACATTCCACCTCCAAGGCCTTCTGGGATGAAGAAAGTAGAATGGGAGAAAGTGACTTTGTTCCACGAGAGACTCAGTTTGAGGCTTCAGGAGAGCATTCAGTGTTTGGGTGGAAGGACGGTTTTTGGAGAGTGGGAGAAGGCCATGAATCTCAGAATGGAGAGGTCACAAAAAGGAAATGTTGGCCAGTACCAGCATCCTGGATAGGAAACTGCATCTCCTGCACTGAACGGAAGAATGGAGGGATAAACAAGGAATCTCAACGCTTGATTGGAGAGAAAAAGATGGGAAGTGCCAGAAGGAAAGGGGTGTTTCATCTGCCATGGAGGAAGAAAAGGTCTCCAAGAACTGTTGTTGGAGAGCCTTCCACAGTGGAGACTCCAGCTGGAGATGATTCCGTTTCTAGGAAAGACAAAGAAGACGTAAGTACCGGAGCAAAAGAGGAATCCATCAAAGCCCCATTCATCCATAGTGGACCCAGCCAAGCATTTGGGGTCACCAGAGAGGCAAAGGCCCCTGGGTATGAAGAAGGCCAACATAAGCAGCCTGTGGGAGAAGTCCATGTAGGTCGGGCCTCAGAGAAACCTCTGAAAGAACAGCTTTCTGGAAACACCCCATCAATCCACCATAGGGTCAGTCAGGGCAGTAGGATGACCAGCGGGGGAGAGAACCCCAGGTCAAAAAACCAAATCATGGCAAACAGCAAAGGATGCCATCAACCTTCAAATGCAGGGAGTGCGGATGGAAATGAAAAGAAAAGGAGTTCCATCATTGGGAGGTGTACATCCATCTTCTCTCTGTGCTGCATGTGTGTGCGTGTGCCAAAATCTCCATCAGGGCTGCACACCAGGAGTCGCTCTTGATGCCCATTTAGTTCCAGTTTGGGATGACCCCTTCCCCTGTGTGCACACAGGGTGAGGTTCCCTTGCAGTGGGGACAAAAATTACACAGAACATTGGGCCAAATCCATATAGTTTATTATTTATTGTTATTAATTTATTTATTTATTTATTACTACTACTACTAGGTTCATAGATGTTTTATTATGTTGCACTCATTAAACTTGGATATTAAACACGTTTCTTTGTTTATATTGCTTCACATCAATCATTGGACTAAGATCTGATGACTATCCATCTATTTTATTATACTTCTATCCCAGTGATGGCGAATCTATGGCACGCGTGCCACAGCTGGAACACAGAGCTATCTCTGTGGGCATACGAGCCATAAGTCGCCATAGAGAAATACTTACCCGTCCTCCGATCCTGGACTTTGGCACTCACCTCTGCTGGTGCAGTGGTCCAGCAGAGGGGTGCAATGGCAAAGATGATCCCATAGGGAGACAGTGCAGGGCCATTGGCACAGAGCAGTGGCCGCTCACAGGCTCTTCCTCACCCATTCTCAAGGGAACATGCCATGGAAGACAAAAAGTAAAGTAGACCAGCTGATATCAAGAGGATTCAGCTTTTTTGTAATGTATACTGTAGAACCCCGTAACAGTTATGGGATAGGAAAAGCCACCATCAGGAAATGGAAAATGTTACCATGGTTGGACTTAGTAGTTGTACACAATAGTGTCAAAGTAACTGCATCATTGCAGGAGTTACCTCTGTCTCCATTGACTTGCTTCCACCATTTTGCACCCCCCTCCTCATGTAACAACCATTTAATATAGTTTGAGAAACTTGCCTTGGTTGCCATAGGTAATAATAATGTTACAGCTTTCTATAGTGACCTATTGCAGCCCCTCAAGAGCAAAACTATAAATTGGAAAAAAAAAATAAGAGCGATTTTGATGAAGGCAAGGTAGTCTCTCCAGATTTTCACAAAGTATTTGAAAAGGAAACGCAGTTGCTCCTCTAAATGGAATGGTGACAGTGGTAGGGGTACAAAGAGGTGAGCCTTACTTATTTCACAAAACAATTGGTAAGTAAAAGAAGGGAGTAGCAGTTCTCATTAGATCTGCAATTACTACTATGCAAAATTCTATTTATTATGCATGGCAGAAGTACAGTTTTTTGTTAATGGGTCCTCCATGATGGTTGTAACCATAATTTGTAGAATGGCTTCACTTCAATTTCCTCTCTGTTCCAAAAAGCCTCGTGCCTTGGAAGCTGATACAATCAACTTTTTCATTACCTTTTATCATTTCCTTTGTTGCTGGGCAGGAAACAGGAGTGGTGAACAAATGCAAAATCTCAGAGTCTGTTTTCTGCAGGGCCCATATTCCCCGAAGATAAAAAGCAGGAAGGCGGGGGAGGAGGACATGACAGAGATAGAATCAGTGGACAAGAAATGAGAATCTTCTTGCAAAACCCTAAAATTGTATTCACAGGGAAGGGCAAGGAAGGTAGCCAAAATGGGAAGGAAGGATGCACACTGTATTAGAAACCAATGTTTCCCCATGTATTGCTGTTTAAAGGCAGTATCCCATTCAGAACTGCAGAGTATAACCTGCTTCCAATGGAGCACTCATATCAGCAGATGCCCTTTCGCACCAGAGGTATAAATATTCATGGGGGGGGGAGGAGGATAGAGAAAGGGAGACCAGGGGAGCCATCTTTCCTTGAATCGCCACCTCCCATAGTATGACTGCTTCTTGGCTTGCTGCATTGATAATGCCTAGTTTTGGGTCACCACATTGTGGGAGAGTGGCTAAAAAAAACCCATCTTGTCCACCCATCCAATGATGCCTTGGCCCAGCAGGCCTCTAAATCTGTGCATTATCCAAGAAGCAATGGGGCTAAAGAGATGGAAAAAAATAAATCCAACAACCACCCTGCTGGTAGTGGACAGACCTGTGGGCAAATAGGATATCAACCTAAAACCATTTTATTTTATTTTATTTTATTTTATTTTTTTTTTTTGCAGTTATGAAAGTCATTGGGAGATTATTAGCTGTTAGGGTTGCCACATCTCAAGGTACTAGGGGAAGCTTCAGGAAACTGCTAACCATCTCCGCCAGATGGTGAGACAAAGCTTGAGGAGAAAGTTTGACGTTTGTGAGTGAGGTGGCGATGTAGCCTGGACACTCATCTCCATTCATTCCCTACTGGCACTGGGGCTCACTGCATCATCATGGGGTCTGTGTAGGTATTGCAACAACTGCCACAATGGGCACAAGTGCGCAGGGACACCAGGTCATTTCCCATCCCCTTCCACTCCTTCATAGCTTTTTGGTGTGCTCACAGCTGGGCTCATGGAGCACCTTGCAACAAGGCTGGTAGTGCACCAGCACTGACGAAACCTCATGGCACAAGCTGTGGCAGCCACAACCACACCAGATGACCTCCCAACTCTTGCATACCTCACCACATGACATCCCAAGGGCTCATCTCCATACTTATGTTTTGGCTTTGAAATCTCAGGGGAATAGGATACTCCTGACATGGCTACCCCCTTTGCAGAACGGTGAAATTCTTCATCTTTCTTTCCTAACAACAGAACCCCCATTTTTTTATATATATAGGCAAGCACAGAATCCCATATATCAGTTAACTTAAGAAGCAGAGATTTTGGGGAATGGACTTCAGCACATGTAGTAAAATCATGTAATTTGTCAACATCAGTACCTAAGGTTTTAGTTTTCCACTGACATTTCACCCCTTGCTTTCATAATCTGTCTTCTGTACTATGAAGTCCATTAGTGTGTGTGCTACTGCCAGATACCTATTGATAATACCACTTCACCCCACTAAGTGATTTTGTCACATGTTCATTTCCTGTATTCCTTGTGGAGAATAAATAATGGAAGAACAAAACATATCCACGCTAGAATGACACCTAATGTATAGTTTCCTTAATTTTGCTCAGTCCTTGCTTTGGTTTAAACCTGATGTACAATGAGAGGATTTGCAGAGGTTTACCTGAATGTAAGCCCCGAGTTTAGTGCTGCCTGTATTTCACACAAAAACAAAACAAAATCCTTCTAGGGTAAGTCAATTTTTTTTCAGCATATCTCTTGCTGTCTGAAATATGTGGGTCCTAGGTAAATATCCTAATATCACCGTGATTGGCCTTGGTGTCTTCCCAAATCTGGTGTCCTTTGTATGTGTTGAAACCACACTCTCTTCATCCTCAGACAGCATGGCTAAAGCAGCAGCCCTCTTTTGCTGCTATACTCTTTAATCTACATTAGCTGGCGCTCAGTCTCTGAACGGCAAACTTCCACATAGCTGTCCTAGCCATGCCCATTCACTATTAATTGGTTCAATTCCTATTTCAAATTATCTGCATGTATGGTCCTCACCAGATCTTGTAGTAATGAATTCCACGGAGTTGGGTTTTCTGTTCTCCATCTTGAATCTCCCCGGTCCTAATCCTGTAGTGACACTGTTCCATTAAGTATTGTGCAAGAAATAGCGTAGTAGGGATCCATGAACAATACTCTGTGCATACCAGGGTCATTGCACTTGGGTTCATGTTAGAGAAACAAGCAATCCTTAAGCATAAGGACACATCTAAATCCGATTAGAAATCAGGGGAAGAAAGTGGTAATGTCTTTATTTACCACTTTCATTCAAATGTTGATCTGCAATGAAGAAAATGCATTAATCGAGGCTGGTTATCGCAACTTTCACAATTAACCCTGTACAAAGCTCCTAACAATACTTATGCATCATCAAATCAATTTCAACTGATGGTGAACCTTTCTAGGGCTTTCCAAGCATAGAGTATTCACAAGTGACTTAGCATTTCTTTTTATAACCATCCTAAAGCAGTGAGAACACGGGCTCAGAAAAAGCATAGGCTTTGCATGAGTCTTATCGCTCATCTAAGCCTTCTTCCCACCATTACCAGGCACTAGGAGTCTCTATCTCTCTGGATTGCCATATTCTAGTTTCACACATCCAAGAAACTGAACTGGCATATAAAGCAAGTTATTTGCTCATTGGGCAAATAAGATGTACATCATGAAAATGCAAACCAATGCACATATGCACAAATACATACCCACCCAGAAAGAACCACTCCTTTGAAAAATATTCCATGAGACAGAATCTTGCATTTTCTTAGTTTTTTCACTTGCACCCCAAGGGTACACAACAGGTGCACAAAAAGCATTTTGTGTGCCCTCAAGGCCCCTTTTCTTTACTAGAGCAGGCTAAAAGAAGTAGATTCAGCCAGTGTTTGTCCAGTAAGTTGTTCAGAGCTACAGGAAGGAGGGATCTGAATCTGGATCTCCCAGACCTAGTCTAGAATTCCAATACAAAGATATTGAGATCTATATTTATGGGATACCTTTATATTTATGGGATAGCTATAGAAATACCAAGTCATCACTGGGGAGTAGGAAAGAATCTTTAATAATGAAACGGGACAAAGGAGTACCCAGAAAGAGACTGCTTGAGGTTTAAAGCCAAATTCACTATAAAAATCTGTGCACTGCAGTAAAGTACATTTTCATTTGAAAAAAAGAGCTAAGTAGAGAAAAAAGTGGCAACAAATATCCAGTTATAAAATGCAGCGTTGCACCCAACACTGGACACTGCAAGAAGAAATATATTATTAGCCTGAGCTCCCCTACTCCCATCTGCTCCGAAGTGCTAGAGGGATCCTGCCAGGAGCAGATGGGGAGCAATATGGGGGCTACACTGCGATGGAAAGCAAGTCCTACTGAGCAAGTCCACATTTGAGCCTGTCACCCAGTGTGAAAACACACAACTGCCCATCAATAGCAGTTTGTGCCAAAACCTTACGACTCAAGATTTTAAACATACTGTCAAGAAACTCAGATGGTGCAGGTGACCTTCATGATTTGTATCTTTCACCAAGACAAGTGTCCTTAGTTGGAAAAATGTCCATCTTCCCATATATCAATAAAATTCTTTCTAGCTCTTCTTGTCCCGTCCCCACCGCTATAGTTGTGAAAAGACAGAAAATATCCAATTTATGTAACTCTAGCTGAATGGTTAGCAAATCTTCTATCTATATACCACTTTATCTTGAACAATTTTGATAATAATTGCTGTTTTATAACTGCGCAAAATAACACAATACTAGAACATTCCTCCCAGCAGCGATTGCATCCTACGTAACATGCCCATGGTTATTATTAGGCGTTGCAGCAACTGTGTTTCCTTTTACTGTGCTGTAGCAAGATTGTTTTAAACATTTCCCCACACAATCATTTTGATCACATTCCTTTTACAGATATACAAAGTCCAATTTCTTTGTCAAGGTTCTCTAGGTGGGAGGCAATTCCTCAAGAAATACACGGTATTGGTGCCCTAACCATCAGTCATCTTTATGAGACAAGCCTTGAGTATGTGATGGCTGAGGTCTATTAAATACATATAAGATTGATAACAGGAAAAGATACAGGAAACTTTAGACTCCCACTTCATTTTTTTTGGCCTTTTATAGCTTCTTGCAATGGAAGCAGAATGAGACCCAATGCTCAATGAAGATCACACTATTACCTTGTTTCAGCCCTTTTCAACCAATCATTTTGATCACATTCCTTTTACAGATATACAAAGTCCAATTTCTTTGTCAAGGTTCTCTAGGTGGGAGGCAATTCCTCAAGAAATACACGGTATTGGTGCCCTAACCATCAGTCATCTTTATGAGACAAGCCTTGAGTATGTGATGGCTGAGGTCTATTAAATACATATAAGATTGATAACAGGAAAAGATACAGGAAACTTTAGACTCCCACTTCATTTTTTTTTTTTGGCCTTTTATAGCTTCTCGCAATGGAAGCAGAATGAGACTCAATGCTCAATGAAGATCGCACTATTACCTTGTTTCAGCCCTTTTCAACTGGTAACCTTGAAATGTGTCCCATCATCCGTAGCTAGCTTGGCCATTAGTCAAGCTGGGTGCCAGTGAAAAAAGCTGAAGTCCAAGGCAGCTGGAGAAAACCAGACTAGGAAAGAGACACTATGCATAATAATGGATCAAGAAAGTTATTCAAATGTAATAATCATGCTGGTTGGGGACTTGCAACCTAACAGGATCTTCTTTTCTCTTGATGTTGCCAACACCTCCTCATATCAAAGCAGAAACTTTTTCCCCCCAAATCCCTCTCCAGCTGAAAAAGTTTTGTCATGTAGATTCAGAAAGGAGCGAAATCATAACCAACTGGACTCACAAGCCTTGTTTGTGTGGGTGATGCTACTGGTATAATGCTCAATGGGCAATTTCAGAAGGTAAAAGCCAGGAGGTTTTTGATGTGCAAAGAAAGTATAATCCCATTTGCACCATAATCTGAAGGTTGCCGAAAAGTATGAACACACTAAGAGATGGACTACTTGGTGCAAACCAATGACTGAAGTCCAGTAGTAAGCTGCAAATGGAGTAGTCCCACTGAGTCAGTGGGAATCTGGTGGGCAAACTCTTCTGTAAATTCCACTGATTCAGTGAGGCAACTGTAGTTGCGACTTATAACTAAATTTGATTTACCATTTGATCTGATGTTTTCATTCAGTTTACATTTAATGCAATAATACTCTAACCCCTTTGGTGCTTTCAAAGTAGCACTTTCATTTTGCCTCCAATAAAGGCAAAATTATTCAATCCTTTTTTTGTTCTTCAAAATGAAAGAAGGGACCAAATGAAATGGGTTGAAGCTTTGGAGAAAGAAGTGCTGCTTGGCACAGCATTCACCTCCCACAAACCAAACCAGAACACCCAAGTCTCGAATTTCTGAGCAGGCGCCCACTGGCCAATTAAATCCAAGAACACCTTCTAAACATTCTCCACCACAGCAAATGCCCTTGCTTTTTAATGAAATGGAAGGAAGACCATTGCAGTATATAAACTTTTAAGTAGGAAAAAATGTATTATCTCTTACAAAAGTCCACATATCACCTACTGTATTCACATAATTCCTGAAAATGCCAAATCATGAACTCAGGGACAAGGGGAATCATTATTCAAAATGTAAATAAAAAAGCACAATAGGCCATAGCCGCAAATGTTTGTTCCAGCCCACCAGGGACAAATGCACCTCATGGAAAATTCATGAGAGCTCACAATTCTGTTTCAGGAGTAGCAACATAATAATAATCATTGAATTACTAATCTTGGAACTGCAGGGCTAAAAGGGACCTTATAAATCATTGAGTCCAGCTCCTGTGGGGACGTGGAACTCCCAACCTTTGGCTCTGCAGTCAGATGCCTAAAACGCTGAGCCATCCAGCAGTTCTTACACTACACATCGCAGCTAAAGAGACCCAATAGGGATGTGTGACAAAACCAGTTTTATTGCTATAATCCCTGCGGGGAAGCCAAGGCCTAATCCACAGCTCAGGTACATGGCCAGGTAAACAGAAGCTGGAAAAGACTCATAGGAATTTTCCATGTCCAGGCAATGGGCTCCCAGTGAATTGGACTTTGTCCCAGAATGTTGCCTTAAAGGACACTCCTTAAATGCTACACACAATTCTATGCTGAATGCAATTTCTTCTACACTTCAGGAGAAAGATGATGTGGTGGTCTCTCAAGAGCCCTTTCAATAAACAAGCAAGCATTTCAGCGGGAAAACTGTCTGCTATCTGACTTTTTCTTGTTAATGTGCTTGAAAATTTTGGACTTCTGAACATTCTTTGCCTTCTGGTAGCCAAATCCTCCCCCGCCACCTCTTTTCTGCAGTCTCTTCCCATGGCTGCTGTTTACATCTGAGAAGTATGTCAAGGGAACACAGGTTCATAAAAATAAAAACTAGCTTCATGTAATGAAAATTTCAAAAGACAGATATTCAGAAAAGGATGAACAATCACAGCTGGTCTAGTACTTTTCCAAATAAGCTAATAATCACAGCAAAGGGAAAATAAAATGTCATTATACTAGTCCTCTTTTAGACACTATCATTGTTTTAACTTCTTGTAAAAGGCAGCAAAATGACTTCACTTAAACACAAAGTCTATTTGAATACTGAAGTGTGCACAAAGCATTTTGAGAGAGAACAAGATCCTTAACCAATGGTTCCAAACCTGAGGGTCCCAGGTGTTCTTGGATTTCAATTCCCAGCAGCTTTCACCACTAGCTAGTCTGGCCAGACTTTCTGGGAGTTGCAGTCCAAGAACATCAGAGTTACCCAAGGTTAGGAACCACTGTAACTTTCTTTAACTGTCCTAAACCATTGAGGGGGGGGGCAGTGTCACATAACCCATGAGTTTCCATATCTCTCAACACTATTTTAGGTGTCCACTGCAACCCTAAAATATCTGACTGTCCCCAACTGCAGCCCTTCACACAGTGGCAGTGCTGTCAAAGCCAAGGTAGAACTGACTGGTTGCATGCAAAATATTCTTTTTGACCCAACTTGACTGCATTACAATGCCGGAACATACCACCCCATTTCGCACACTCCCTGTCCTCCTTCACACAGAAAGGGAACTTACTGAACCTCCAGCTGCAGTTTCTAACTTCAGAAAAACATAACTTAAACTGCTCTACTATTATTTTAGCAGCCTATAAATGATATTAATACAAACATTTGACCCCTGCCTATCTCCAGGAACACATACACAGATATATATATCTCTCTTTGTCTGTGCGTACGTGAACAGCTCACAATAAAAGGATACTGAGATCAACAAAAGGTGGGACCTTGAAGCCAAATGACAGAGCAACTTTGAGCAGATCCAAGTTATTGACACTGTAGATCTCCTTCAGAGAATGGGAATCATAGGCTCTTATATATGCTTTGTATGCTTCCTGGGCTGATTTGTGAAGAAAGTAGTTTTTCTCAATCAATTTCTCCAGCTAAAAATTAAAAAAGCAAAATGCACAAGTATATCTTGTAGTTTAATGAGTGCATAGGAAAAATAAATCAGGTAACTGACACATTTATTATTGCACATATACAACAACGCAGTTGGAACAGCATCACAAATTTAACAAGTAATGTTTTTAAAATATACATTGCCACAATCCTACTGGTGTTTACATAAGAGCTGCATAACTTGTTCTACTTATTGTGGTGAACTGATGAGAGACCAGGACAAATTTTGGTTGTCCAAGTGGATGCATGACCAGACACACAACCAAGAGGTTCCCCTCCCCCACCCCAGCCTCTCTATTACCTGCATGGCAAATTTGGGTATAATTTATTTAAATACTAATAGGTTTCTAGTAAATGTTTTCAAACTCTAATTCAATAAACTCAAATAAACTCATTCTATTGAGATACTGGGCTTTTTAAAAATGTGAATTTTTTAAAATGCTTAGTAGATAATAGAATTTTAATATTAACAGCAATTTCTTTTGTTCAGTAGAAAAGGTTTTGAGACAGCTTAAAAACTAGTATGCATTATTTGCACAAGCTTTTGCAGGCTGAAGCCCCTTTATCTGATAACAGTAGACTGCAATGGCCTACAATCTATTAAGAGCTTATACAAAAAAACCCCATAGTCTTTAATATGACATAAGACTCTTATTTTTACTGCAACAGGCTAATACAACATGAAAAATATGATGAGGGCATGAAAACGTCATCCACTTAGAAAGCAAGGCTTCCTGAAATCACAAATCTTATTGTGGAAATCCCATGATTCTGAACACTGATGGTCACAGATTATGGCAAAAACTCTCAACACCAGATAGATGGTGCACGTTCCTCACTCCTGACACTGTGACTTCTGATGCATTCTATGGAAAGTGCGAGCAACACAGTGGAAACAAACAAACAAACCCAGCAGCAGGCACAATTAACTTTCCAAACAGATGGTAATTTAATGCATTAAAGTTAAAGGTTGTTCAGACATGGTTCCATTTCTGGCCCACAGCAGCCTCAAAGTAGGATGTCCTGTCTTTTTAAAATGGGATTTAAGGTTATAGATAGTTCTTTATATTTATGATGTTAGCTGTCTTGGCCACTCACAAAGAGAGACACAGGAAAAAAACAGGACAAACTGATTATGCAGGTAGCATAAAGTCTGACTTACCTGTGACTGGATATCAGAAATCTTGGCCCAAGAAAATTCAAATTCATTTAGTGGTACCTAAAAGAATTATACACAAAAGTAACTGAAAGGCATTCATTGTTCACATATCACCTCTTAAAAGACAGTTCTGTAATAAAACACAACTAGGCATCTGTACAGAACATGAGCCTCATCACTCCCATGCTCAACCTCACACAGTTTCTGGAGTCCACGTGTTCTCTCTCTGTACCCCTTAGCCTTGTTTCTCCACAGTAGCTGATATAAAGTTTGTAGAACCATGTTCTAATGACAGCTTTACAATTCTGGACTGAAACTGTCATCAGGCAATGTTTCACGGAGCCACAACAATCTTTGACAGGCAGCATGAACAACACCTTGCAATTGCTTTCTGAAGTACTCTGGTAACTCAGGGCATTCTATACTCATTGTGAGACGATTACTCCGATGAATTGCTGTGGAAATGCATCACAGAACAGACGTTTCCATCTCTACATAATTCCCATAAAAGATGTGAACACTATTCACCGCAAGATGGGAAAACAAGCTCACATAGCCCCAGGCTATCCCTAACATGCACCAGTATTGTTCAGCGTCTCCACAACATGTCTCTCCACCATTAAAGCCTTGAGAAAAAGACACAAAGTGATATTTTGCACAGACAGTTTGCGGCCATTCCTAGCACCACAGAATTCTCTCTATTCTGTTACCAGTGAAAATATTATGGGACCAGCACACTTAATTAGGACCAGCACTACTAATCAAAGTGGCTTTTACTTAATTTCCTCTATCACTTTAATCTCTACATTCAAATGATTGAAAACATATAATCTAACCATGCAGTTTTTTCACAGCAGCTGTCCTACGTTTCTATTATATTTTATTAAATATTCTCTAGGCAATTAGATGGGCTGAATATTGAAGCTTCTGGTTAATCATTACAACTGCTGGCAACTTTGCAGTGATAAGGTATGCCAACTCACCCGAGCCTGTTTTAGGTAACGCAGGAAACCCAACTCTTCTGGTCGTAAAATAAGCAGAGCATGCCCTCTTCCATTTATACCTCGGGCAGTTCTTCCAACACGATGAATGTATTCCTTTTTTTTTTTTTTTTAAAAGAAGCAATATGTGACCATCTAACATTCTGTGAAAGTTGACACTTTGAGGTAAACACAACATGTAGCAAGACAATCCCTGCATTCTTGGAAACAATACATAGAAAGTGATATTTCAATTATGGATTTAATTTTGGCCAGCTAAATATTAAAACCAGAACAAGTAAGTACGGAGGCTGCAGAAAAACATGCCTTCTTGGGCACAATGGGGCTAGGCTGGGAAGAAAGCAGCATAAGCATCACGCTTCTGATTGGTATAGTACTCGCCAGAAATGGCTTCTGGGATTAGCATCCTCAGGAAACTTATAAGGCCTAAATACTCTGGAAGAGTCTCTGACCTGGGAAGCTTCTACTGCTGCTTGTCTTCACTGCCACTCTGTACAGGGAGGTGGTTAATTTCTGCTCACCTACTCCTTTCTTCTGTGTAGCTACTCTTTAAGGTATGATGTCCAGCCACTTTCTGGAGCCAGTTAGTACTGTGTGCCCAAAATGTGACAAGAACTACCCATGCAGATAGTTCTACTGACAGGCAAGCAGACATGCCACAGATGCTCTCCCTAGGATGCTGCTGCTTACTAAGCTGACACAAGTTATCCTGTGAGCAGACAGCAAGCATATAAATCCATGATTTAGATATCAATCTTATGATGTGTTCTGTGCTTTCTAGTTACCTTACCAACCCTGCTTTTCTCTTAAAACAGGATGTATCCAACCATTTATTAAAACTTGTCATCCTAACACTCAATGCATACATTTTTAGTCTCTATAATATACAATAGTAAGAACATTCCTACACCTTTGATACAACCATTTACTATTACACTAAAAGGTTTCAAATTACACATTGCAATGTAGACACAAGTTTATATGACGCAAGGAGTTTGCTACCGTTAAGGAAATCTGGGTTTAGTTTTGGCCTGTCAGAGAAATGAACCTATGTATGGCACTCTCAGCTTGAGAAGGGAATACTTAATATAACTATGGTATCACACCAACAACTTTCCAGAAACTCTGGTACCTTTGGATCATCTGGTGGGTCATATTGAACTATCCAGTCAACTTCAGGAATGTCCAGTCCCCGAGCTGCTACATCTGTGCACAAGAGTATTCCAGAATCTGCATTACAGAACTGAAAAAATGTAGTTGTGCGTTTGGTCTGTTTCTGCTTGCCCTAGAAAGAAAGAAAAAATCAAGATGAGTTTTATTAGCAACTACATAATCCTACAAAGAGGACAGCAAGAACCCCCCCTCCTGCCACCCCACCACCATGCCCCCCCTCCACTGCCATCTTTGCAAAGGGCAGCCTGGATTCCCTTAGCCTGCCTTAAGGGAATCTGCAATGATGACAGCTGCAGTTTCCCTACGCTAAATGAAGCCACAGCCACCATCTTTGCAAGGGGCAGCCAGTCTAGCTTTTTATGTCATGGCTGGGAGGCCAGATGAAGACTTTGGCAGTGGCGATTAAGGTAAGGGGGTGTTGGTGAGGGTGGGGCTAAGGTAGGGAGAGGAAGGGGGTGGGGAGATAGGCTGTAGGGGTGGTTGGCTGTGGGGGGGTGTGGCTGCCTATCAGCTGCTGATCAGTTGATTGGCAGCCGGTAGGCAGAATGGGTTTTTTTAAATACGAAGGATGAATAAAAACAGGTAAATACAGTATTCGTCCATATTCACGGGGGCTTCTGGAACCCACAAATATGAAGGGACAAATATTTAATGAATTAGCTACTTTTGTCAAAAAAACTAATCCATTTTTATATTTGTCCCCATCTCTGCTGTGTATACACTTTTTTGTTTTCACATTGATTTATGCAGAAACAAAGGAAAATTCACCTCTTCCCCATTATGGACAACAGAAAAAAATCATTCTAGTACACCAATGTAGAGGCACTTAATATGGTTAACTGACAGCAAGCACCATTCTAACAAACAACTTCAACCTTGCAGACACAACCCTGTTCTTCAGATAAGCATTTTAAAGACAGCTTTAAGAGAAAGGTTCTCCTGGTGGTATTTAAAGGTTAATTTATGACTCCATTGCTGAAATCTTGCTGAGCTGCTGACATTCTTGTTACGCACTCCCAGCCTTCATAAAGGCCACCTGTAATCTACACAACTTCAAAGCAGCATGCATTATTCAAGCTTGAATGTCAACCTAAGATACCAGCTGCACATGCAGAAATAGATACATGACAGAATAGGAGAAATTTCTTATAAAAGGATGGGATATTCAGCAGGTTAACACTTAACCTCGCAATCTCATAAGCCTGGATTCACTGCCAGTTTAAGTTGGCATTTGTCTGGCCAAAAGTGTAACTGGTAAGTTAATTGGCAAACATGATCAAAATGCTTAATTGTCATATCCAGCAAAATCTCCTACAAACAGAAGGGCTTCTCTCAAAGGGAGGATTCTGACCCCACCTTCCTTTCACTTCAACTTCCTATGTTCACCTAAAATCTGCTGGGGACTCTTTTAAATAGTGGGGAACTGATGTTGGGGACTGCTAAAGGAGAAGCAATCAGCAAGTCCCCACCCAATTTTCTACCAGTGCGAGCACTTTGGGGAGCAGAATAAAAGTTCAAGATCTCAACCAGTGGGGGGGAAAAGACCGTTATAACTGGTGGATTAGATGCTGCGGCATTAGACGGTGGCCTTACATCTATAAAATCACCCAAAACAAATCAAGAATAAAGAAGCAGTCTCAACATTTCCAGCTCTCATGCAACCTAGGAATGACACTCACATGAATGGCCAGGACTGGCAGATCAATATAGTTCAGGAGTTCATAGTGGTACTTCACAGACATACACGAAGAGAAAAATACCATCAGCTTCTTCTTCCGATTCTTCTTGAGGAAAGTGAACAGCAGAAGAAATCTCTTTTCTGAAGGACACACTACATAACCCTAAAAACAAAAGGATTCATCTACATATAATAATTTACTCACTTACAAGTACATCTGGCAAATAAGGCAAACTAGCATTTAAACCCACATATAACTAAACAGTGCAACAACAAAAAATCAGTTTCTCATAGTTCATTGATGTTGATGATGAAAACTGGGATGAAAAGCATCCTTAAATATGAGAACTTTTCCATTCTGAACAGCCTTGCACCATGGCAAGTGCCCATCTCTTAAATGCAATTCATAGATCCAATCGGCAGTATGGAGCTCTTGCCACGTGAAAGACCACTTTTGGCACCAACTATACTGCAAGCGATCCTAAATCAGACAGAAAAAGGGAAATCTGAATATCTTTTTTGGGATGGAAAAAATCAAACTTGAAAAAAGCAAAGCCAAACTATGAAAACTTGTGTTTACTGAAAATGTAAGATATACCAATACTTAGATGCTCATTTCAATACAAATATTAAGAAACAAAGAAAAAAAGGCAACTGAAGAAGAATATTCAGAACAGCATTAAAAGCAAAGCGTACCCTCTACTAAGATGCAAACACTTCATCAACAAATTACCTGTTCAAGTCCCTCCACAGTTGCTGTCTCTTTATTGTCATCAACCCCAACATACAATGGTTCTTTTTTAAGAGATATCTTTGCCAAGTCTTCAACTTTACGGGTTTGTGTAGCAGAGAAAAGCATAGTTTGTCTACGTTCTGAGATGAAAATAAATGGTAACGTCAATAGAATAATATAGCAACAGTTTTTTAAGACTTAGTAAGGCAGTACAGTGGGGTCTTGACTTGAGAACTTAATCCGTATTGGAAGGCGGTTCTCAAGTCAAAAAGTCTGTAGGTCAAGTCTCCATTGACCTACAGTGCATTGAAAACCGATTAATCCCGTAACAGGCAGTTTTTGTTCCATTTTGGTTTTTTTCTGGTCTGTAAGTCAAATCTCAGTCTGCAAGTCAAACCTAAATTTTGCGGCCAGAGAAGTCTGTAACTCAAAAAGTCTGTAGGTCAAGCCGTCTGTAAGTCAAGGGTCCACTGTACATTAACATCTTTACGAAAGCCCAGATGATTCACAGTTCAAAACTCATTTCTTATATAAATAAAAACTCAGACATTTCTCCAATTCAAATCCATTCTTTTCAGATCAGATTTCGCCTAATATAGTAGCACACCAAAAGTTTTATTTATTAACACACAGAAATCTAGTTTGAAGCAAAGGGCCTTTAAGGCTGCATCCCTAAACGTATTTACTTGGGAGTAAGTCTCACTGAACACAGTATCCAGTGAGTCCTTGTCCAGACCAAAAGACCCCTTCCCGGAAGGATGTGAGAGGAGAGGAGTCACACACCACTGTGGCACTGCATTTATGCCACTGGGACTTATGTTATTAGTAATTACATACATCACTGGAAAATAAATGTATGAATGGTGGGGCTCCCTATTTACCAGCAGGAAACAGTCTGAAACTTAAGACTTCATTTATGTTATGTAATAGAATGTTGGCCAATAAATCCACTAAGCACTAGGGTATGTCTATTATACAGTAGTGCTTAACATAGCTATATTTTAAGCACTGGATAAGCAACTAGGAGTTACAAACGGTTGTTCTTTGGGTACTGCTACTTTCTCCATTATCTAAATAATACTGCTCAATGATGATTTGCAAACTTGACTTACTTGGCAGAAGTTTTATGATTTGTTTCATTTCTTCCTCAAACCCAACTTCTAAAATTCTGTCGGCCTCATCAATCACCAGACATTGCAGATTCTTATACATAAACCCTGGAGTATTCTGAAAGACAAAATGCAGGCTTGCCAGCTACCAAAATGAGCACAAAGTACATCACACACTCCCCACCATAACTTATCCTACCTGCATGTGGTCCAAAAGTCTGCCTGGAGTTGCCACAATTATGTTTATCCCATTTGCAAGCTTCTGTGCCTCAGCTGATCTATTACTGCCGCCCATGACTAAGCCATAGGTGTGGACATGATGAGTCATCAGTTCTTTGAGAACACCATAGGTCTGCATGGCAAGCTCTCGAGTAGGTGAAAGGATGAGAACACCAGTTCCTGAAACAAGGGTGCAAGGGGAGAAGACAATGCAAAAAGGTGTGCATTAATCCTGAAAAATGACAGGGTACTACTATCCCCACATTCACCTCAAGACTCTTAAACAATAAGCCAAAAAATGTGAAATCTTACCATTCCTGGGCATAAATTTTAACTTGTAGATGAGTTCTATTGCTGGAATAAGAAACGCAAGGGTTTTGCCACTGCCAGTCTTTGCAGCTGCTAGAATATCTCTGCAGATGAAAGAACCACAAATAAAATTTTAGTAGTATAGCAGATCAGGGGAATTTAAACAATGTAAGTGTTCACTTCCAATTCTCTTCCCGTTCTCAGAGTGAAGAGACAGGGAACTCTATTTTGTCAAATGACGTGCCGTGCCTCAAAGCACACAGAATGCTGGAACACTAAATGCAATTTCTCTTTCCCCAAAGTAGCTGTTGCATGTCATGCTCTGATCCTTCAAAACAGCAGCCTCCCAGCCACTTTGGCCATATATAGATACCAAACCCTCATGAGTTGGGAAGGCAATGGACTGCCTGGCAAATGTCCAAAACATGCTAGCATATTGCTGCAGTTCTGATGTTAGAAGAGAGGCTGAAAACATAAACTACATGGTATTTGTTGAGGGAGTAGTAACCAGCAGACAATCACAGTAAAAAAAAAGGAGCAACTACAAAATGCACCATCTTAACGTGCAGAGTTCCTAGATGCACATAGAAAAGCTTGGGTGCACACAGAAAATTCACAAGGGTATAGAATATGACCTAGCCCTGAGTCAAGCTAATGTAGTTGTAGAAGAAATCAGTTTTGTTCAACATTCTTATGCCTTGAATGGCCAAGTAAAGTTTGTTTTGTGAAGCCTTCTCTTTGTGAGTTCAGTTCTTTACATCTCATGCTTGCAAAAACAGGGAATTAAACTTTTACACATTACTAAAAAATACTGTTTTGCTCTCTAAAATACATTAGTGGACAAATTTAAACCCTGTCTATTTAATGTAATTCTCCACTACAAATTTACCTGAATTTAAATCAAATACACAATTGATGTAATTCAGCATTTAGAAAAAAAAATGTTGAGTAATTCTACCCATCCACAGTGGGGAATGTGTGGCTCTTCAGATGCTTTAGGGCTGCTCAAAAACTATCACCCCTCACCACTAGGAATGTAGGCTCTGATGAGAATTTCATTGATGCCTGTATGTTTCACCTGTGATTCATTTTCTAATGGATTGCAGCCAAATCATTTAAGAAAAGAGTGAACACGTCTCCCAATTTTAATACAGAAAACATTTGTGCAAATGAACAAGAAAAGCAAAACCAAAACCACCCAGAAATTACTTATTCTCTGTATTTGGTTGCTATATTATTATCATCAGAGGGTATGCCAAAAAGGAAACACTAAAAAATAAATAAATTGGGTTTTGATGGAAATTTCTTACCTGCCTTCGAGGAGTGGTTTAATACTCTTATGCTGGATTTCTGTCATGTGTGTGAAACCCATGTCAGCTATTCCTTTCAATGTGTTCTCACTGACAAGGTCACTCAGAGAAGCAAAAGATGTATCCTCAAAAGCACCTGAAGAGACAAACCATCTCAGTTTCTTCCCCTCAACAGACTGCCCAAGTCAATGGCGTTATAGACAAACAGATCTAGTTTTATTATGCTGGAACAAAGTTTCTAAACTATCCGAGTTTACCCAATAAGAGTTGTTCAAACTATAGTCAAATTCCTTCAGGCTACTGAAAATAAGCATACTTATGATAAATGTGATGAAACATCATTGAAACGAGATGGAATCAGATTTATGTAGAAGTCTCTACTCCTACTGAATATAACTTTCTCTAGTATCAACTGACCACAAAACAAGAAAGTTAGTATACATTTTGATTTACTACATTCAGACACGACAGTCACATGCAGCAATGCTGAATAGATTAAGGAGTTATATATGGTTGCAGACCATTCTCAGGATTTTGTCCCAGCACAGGCTCATCATATGTAGCATTTCCATGTGGGAACTTATTGGTCCGAGCATTCCCAATTCAATGGGCAATGTCCACCCTAAAATACAACAGGACTGCCATATCCATGGGATCAGTATCCATGGTTTCACTTATTCTCTACTTCAAACTATTAAATAACCTCCCCCACCCCCAAGAAGCATGTGCTTCCAAGGTACCAGAACTGCCCACTAAAGGAAAGTGGAGACTATGCTATATATAGGGTTTGTATATCTGTGTTTTTTGGGATTGGGGGCAAGGGGGCTTGAAAGCAACCCCCCAGTGATACTGGGGTCCTACTGTATTGAATTCTATACAGATGTGCCTCAATGTGACATACATCTCACTAGACACAGAGCGAATGCAGCAGTAAAACATAAAATACTGCAAAGATAAAAAATAAAATGGTTTCTACTAGGTGCACAAAAGACCATAACATGGACACCAGGCAAGCACCCCTGGTTGAAAGCATTCCTTGAGAGGGGTCCCACTACTGGAAAGGCCATCTCACTTGTAGGCACCCCTTCACTTCATTTGGCAAAGGAACCCAGAGAAAGGCCTCACAGAAGTTCTTTTAACATTCCAGTAGGTAAATACAGGAAAGATTCAAGTATATTGGCTGCAAGCTTCTAAAGCTCTGAAGTTAGATTAGGCATCTTCAGTCTTGAGAGACTATGGTAACGTGCTCTGTATGGAGAACTTGGAACAGCATCTAGTGTGGCTGAGAAGGCCAATTCAAGAGCGACAATCCCTTCCACGCTGAAGACAAATATAATCTGTCCCCTGTCCAGCTCCCTGGTTTTGCTGCTTCTGTGACTGCCTCTTTAGCTCAGCCTGCTGGAGAAGGGTCTCTTCAAATTGGGAGAGGCCGTGATGCAAAGCCTGCTTCCAGGCTGAACGCTCGGATGTCAGGGTTTCCAATCTGTTGAGGTCCTTTCCTAAGGCCTTCAGATCCTGCTTGCAGATATCCTTGTATTGCAGCTGTGGTCTCCCTCTGGGGCAATTTCCCTGCACTAATTCTCCATACAGGAGATCTTTTGGAATCTAACCATCAGCCATTCTCACAACATGACTGGGATATAAGAAACAAAATAGAGACAGGATAAGGAAAAAAATTTGCCTGTTAGTCCAAGGGGTAAGGCAGGTCCATCAGCATCTTCCGCTTCTTTCTCATCCGAACTGTCATCATTTTCTTTCTCAGGTTCCCCATTTAGGGTCTGCTCTTCTAGCTGAGCACATTCTTCTTCAATTTTTGCTCTTTTAGCTTCTGCACACGTACAAGAAAACCAATGAGTGTCAGTTAGTGGACATCTACATACCAATTACTGTGCTTAAATGAAGGAGTCACAATAGTCCCATGTAACTACCAAACATCCTTGAATGAAAGCCCAAATTGAAGAAATAAGCACGATCTGCAAAATATGGAATAGCCACATGGAAACCAGATGCTATGGAAAGGAACATGGAGAAGAGTGAGGGTACGAACTTCATTTAAGCCCTACGATTCCTTTGTAAATCACATCAAATATCTATCTTTAGCTACCACTCCAAATCCAATAGGAACTGAACCCAAGTAGAATTTGAAAGAAATGGCAAAAATAGAGAGAGTATTTTGCTGTTAGCTACTTCCTGGAACAGAGGTATGCCTGTTTCAGGAAGTAGCTAACTTAGAGGCTTCATTTTTAATTGTCAAAGTTTATAGCCATTGCTGCTGCCGCCCCATGAATACTCTGATTCAACATTTTCAAAACAGTCTTTTACTTTTCTATGGAGATCCAACATGGAACATCACTATACTTCAGCCCTTTGTGGATACAAAATCTTTCAACATGCATTTTACAGTGATGGTATAATTAATATAGTAATATCACAAGACAACTGGATCAAGGAAGCAATTATCTATTTGCTAGAAATCCTGGCCAAGACAGCTTAATAGTGAAGGTCTCCAGGAGTCTTCATCCAAGAACATCTGGGGACCCAAGACTGGGAACCACTGAAATAATTGATTAGCTACTGTCAGTCAGTCATTTAAAATGATGTACAAATTAAAAATGCAATACCATTTTCTGTCTGGCTAACAGTTTTTCTTTTCTTCTTCTTCTTCTTCTTCAACTCAGGTTGTGTACATCCAGCTTCTTCTGCATTAAGTATGATGTTTGGCTGTTCCACACCCTTAGGTTTCTGTTCTTCCACCACTGCTTCTTGGATACTGGATACTTCTTCTGAACTGTCCTCTGCTGTTAGGCCTAACAGGGGAGCAAAGAGTAATGATAGTTATTTTTGAACATATTTCTTCCAAGTGGGGTGAAATATTGAGTATGAAACAATACCAATCTATGTAAGTGTTCCTACTTTCAGTAATCTTAGCATGCCAAAGTGTGCTCTTCTAGAAGATAATTTTCCAAATCTGTGCAGAGTGGATTCCAGTCTTTATCTGTAATCAGTCACCCTCTATTGCATAATGCCTAGGCAGTTTTTGATCCAGATACTGATCACACTGAATTCTGCTTTAACTTCAGCCTTATGCTTCATGACCCTTAGATGACTGCCTAAAATATATGTAATGTAAATATAAACCTATGAAAGTATGCAAGGGATGGATAAAGTGGATAGAGGGAAGCTCTTTTCCCTCTCATGCAATACCAGAACCAAGGGACATCCACTCAAATCGAGTGTTGGGAAAGTGAGAACAGACCAAAGAAAATATTTCTTGACCCAGTGTGTTAGTAGTCTGTGGAACTCCTTGCCACAGGATGTGGTGATGTAATCTGGCCTAGCTGTCTTTAAAAGAGAATTGGACAGACTCCTGGAGAAAAAGTCCATCGCAGGTTACAAGCTATGATTTGGATGTATCATATCCAGGTTTCAAAGGAAGGTACTTCGAAATGCCAGATGCAGGGGAGGGGTATCAGGAGACAGGTATGCAGTTGTCTCCTCTCCTCCCAGAGGCATCTGGTGGGGCCACTGTAAGATACAGGAAGCTGGACTAGATGGGCCCTTGGCCTGATTCAACAAGGCTCTTCTTATGTTAATACTGTACAAAGTTTTCAATACTAACTCTTACAAGGCCAGCCCAAGACCAAAAAGCACATCTAGTGCAAAACATTCAAGATACATTAAATACATTCTGCTTTTGAATGCTTTATAAGAGCAGAAGAGTACTCAGGATCTACCTGTAGATCCCTAAGGAACTTACAGATACTTACAGAAAATCAAGAATTTCTGACTGCCTAATGATAGTAAGAAACAAAATATATGATTTTTCACCATACTGAAGCTTTGATATGCTATTTACATAGATACTACCTGAATACCTCTTAAGACACAATAATCCAAACTTGAAAGGCAGGATTTCCAGAACTTTATCTGTTTACATCCTACAAAATATCCCCCCTCCCCACTGGACAGTCGAGTAGAAGATAACTCGGGGAGGAGAATCACCAAACTTGTTAAGTCGGAAACTACAGAATACCACAAAGTAGATCTAGTTGATTACGTCCATGCTGCAGGTCAATAAAACAAGCGGCGGATCTTTTGACCATCATCTCCATACCGTATTTTTAGTCTCGCGAATGGCCCTTTTACTGAACTCTCGGCTTTAAATAATCAGAAATATGAATATTCGCTTTCCACCTATTATAACGCCTGTGCAACAACCACTCCTCTTCCCACACGCACGCATTTTCTCTCTCTCCCCGCCCCCCGTCCGGCATACTTTCCCGACGACCCCCTTTCCTTCTCCCTCACGGTAACCCACACCGACGGTGACATCCCTCCCTCCACCTCCACCTCCACCCTGAAGGGAATGGCGGCCACCTCACCGCCGGCTCTCCCTGCCCCAGAGCTCTCGGCGGCGGCCGCCCCTTGCCGGGCCAAGTTGCGCTGGCGTATCTTCAGGTTGCGTTTGTGGAGCTTCTTGCGGAGCAGCCGCATCGGGAGGTTCCCCGTATTCGCCGCCATCCCGACAGCAGCGGAGACCGACCGCGACCTACACGTGTCTGGACGCCGGACGGAAGGAAAAAACCAGCGCAAGAGAAGATGAAACCGGAAGCGGCAGTGTCAGGTGACACAGCCGAGCTTCCGGTGCTCGGTCCTCCCAGTCTTCGGACGGCGCACCTGCAGCGACCTCTAGAGGGTCGGAGGAAGCAGCGCCGCGTCTTTAGACCCGCTTGCAGACACGGCTGGAAAAAAAAAAGGGGGGGGGAAGGGTACCGGGACTGCTTGTCCTTCCCATCATCCTTTCGTGTTGTGTTTTCTGTCATTGAAATCAAAGCGAATGGGAATGAGTTTGCTTTATTTGGGTTTTTTTTTTAAGAGAAAAGCGGGGTAAAAATATTTTAAGTAAATAAAAAATAACATTAGCTCCTGCCACGTTTGTGTGTTCTAATTCCCTTAAAGCCTTGTGATCTCTCCTCAGCTTGCAGATGCCACCCCTCTTGTGCGGGATCAGGCAGTTTAGGGACACATCAAAACTGGCACTTGGATTTTCTTATGAGGGTTAAGGTGGCTGGTTGAGCATAAGTTTAACTGGACGCTAAGACGACAACGAAAATATGACTACAGAAGAACTGCATAACTTTAGTACACTATGGACAATGAAGAAATTCAAATGATTAGAGGTTTTGTATATCTTGGTTCAGTCATCAATCCAAATGGGGACTGCAGCCAAGGAATCAAAAGAAGACTGAGTCTAGGAAAGGCAACAATGAAGGAATTAGAAAAGATCATAAAGGGTAAGGATGTGTCTGTCACTGGAGATCAAGACCGAAGGCATCCATCCTCTTGTCTTTCTAATCACCACACATGGATGTGAAAGCTGGACAGGAAAGGAAGCTGACTCTTGTCTTCCCAATCACCACACATGGATATGAAAGCTGGACAGGAAAGGAAGCTGACATAGGGGGAAATGATACATTTGAAATGTGGTGCTGGAGGAGAACTTTGCAGACCCTGAACTTCCAGAAAGACAACCCAGTGGGGTCAAGAACTCAACTCTGAACTATCTCTGGAGGCAGAAATGATCCCAATCACCACACATGGATATGAAAGCTGGACAGGAAAGGAAGCTGACATAGGGGGAAATGATACATTTGAAATGTGGTGCTGGAGGAGAACTTTGCAGACCCTGAACTTCCAGAAAGACAACCCAGTGGGGTCAAGAACTCAACTCTGAACTATCTCTGGAGGCAGAAATGATGTCCAGAAAGACAACCCAATGGGGCCAAGAACAACTCAAATCTGAACTATCTCTGGAGGCAGAAATGATGAAACTGAGGGTGTCCTACTTTGGGCACATCATAAAGGCAGGATTCTCTGGAAAAGGCAATAATGCTGGGAAAGTTTGAATGCAGCAGGAAAAGAGGAAAATCAAGTATTAAGTGGATTGATTCTTTAAAAGAGAATCTACTTACAAGAGTTGAGCAGGGCAATTGAGGAGAGGACATTTTGGAGATCACTCATTCAGTAGGGTTGCCGTAAGTTGGAGGCAATGTGATGACACATGACAGTAACAACAAGGTGTTCGGGGTTGCTCCCATGTTGCCTTATCTGGAAGAGTTGTAAAAGCTGGGCAGTATGCATGCATGCATGCGATTACACTTACAGGACACCTACAGAGGTGTGCAATCTGGCTCAAGACTACTTCAAATACAGTATCTCCTGTGGGATATAGAATTGTAAAACAATAAGCAGCTAAAGGAAGGATCAGTTTCATGGACTGTTAGGGACTCGGTTCAAATCCATGGTTGGCCAGAAACACTCATGGGGAGGTGCGGCAAAACCACTTCTTAATAGCTCTCACACCTCAATAGCCTTTTAAGGGTGGCTAGTCAATTGAAAGTGACTTGACAGCATATAACAATGTCAGGGAAAAAGCCAGAGAGCATGTTCTGGGTACCTTCTCTCAGTCTCATGGGTGCTCTGACTAAGGAGGGGCAAGGGTAGCATAGATCTTGTTGTGTACCAGCCACATTAACAAAATATAAATGCATAAACATATTGACAAGAACAGCAAACACACTTTTATTCACATAGACTTCAATTTAAGCTGATTTGTTTACAGAAGTAAACAGTAACCTATGTGGTATGTCTATTTTTAATTTGTTAAAGGGTTTTTTGCTCTGCTTCACCTTGTATTTTATCATTGTCAGCCTCCTTGACGACTCTTTTGTAGTGAAAAGATGCCATGTGAATTAAATAAACTAAATAAACCTAACTGCAAGAAAAAGTGTCTTTATTCCTCGCTGATGTCTCACATTTATTGACAAACCAGCCCCATTGCATAGCATTTCCACGTTTAACACAGGACATCTGCCATCCTAAGTTGCTTGGCTTCCAGGCAGTAGTCCTCTTTAGCTCGGTATCAAGCTATAAATGAATAAATCTGGGCAACAGCAGCAAGCTGTTTGTTTTTGCAAATGGACTGTTGCAGTTTACATAGCTAGATGGAATCTGATGTTCTCACAATCACCTCCACCCACTTGGACATTTGATCTGAGGTCTCCAACAGGATATCTCAAGGACTCAATACCTGGTGTCATTTTCTGTCTCTTCTCCCAACTTCTTCTTCTTTGCATCATCTAACCCTAGGCTTACTAATCTTCGGCTCTCCAACTAGTGATTGACTATGCTCCCCATGATTCTTCACCACTGGCCAGGCTGGCTGGGCTTTGTAGGAATTGAAGTGGAACATTTGGAAGACTACAAGTTCTTCAGCTCTGTAAGGCAGCCTGATTCTAGTTTGTCTTGGTAAGGTTATATTGCCTAGATTTGTCTTCCTATGTCATTAGTTAATTGTGAATGAAGATTGGAGTTGCATTTGAGGTACAGCATTTCTCTTTGGTGTTGAGTATTTGCAGAAAATGAGGGGCTGTCTAGATGAGCCTGTTGCTCCAAACCGGAATTAAAAAAAAAACCAATGACTTTTTAAAAAATCTAATTGATTGAAATCATGATTTAAATTTTTAACAATGATTTTGTATTTAAATTATCAAAAAATCTGATTTTTAAACTTTACATTTTAAAACTTTAAACTTTCAAAATTCACCTGCTGCAAACATTTACCAACCATGCCAGTCCCCATGACAAGAGGGGGCAGAAAAATGCCCCACAGCAGTGTTTTAGTAGCATGTCGATTTATTTGGCTTCCTGTCTTTGGTGGTGGACAAAGCTCTTATAACCTTTCTCATTTTTGTTTTGTTTTGTTTGATTCTCACTTCAGGCATTTACCCTGAATTCTTGGATGAATGGTTTCTTTTGACTTGGCCAGGAAAACGAATGTTTCAGTTGTTCTTTTCCTTTGACAGTAACCACTTGACCTTTGTTTCTTTTTGACACGGCCCTAGCTGTCTGCAAATTCATGTTTTCCATTTATTTTTGTTTTGTTTTGTTTGGACAGGAGCTGGTGCAAACAGAACAGTTATTCTGTGCATTTTTTGCTGCCAGGACCCAGGAGCAATGATCTATTCCTAGAATTAGGAATACCCAGGCCCTATGTGAGGGAGGGTCAGCAGAGTCATTTGGCCCAGGCCTTATCTGGGAGGGAACAGAATCTCACCTCAGCCAAGGGAGACCGACCATCATGTGTTCTATGAATATATTTTTTACATCCCATTCTTTATGTTTTTGCTCCCCTTCCCAGATATTGAAAAGGCCTCACAATATGAAATGGCCCAGACCTCCTCTTAGCTCTCTTAGGTAAAGGTAAAGATTCCCCTTGACATTTAGTCCAATCGCATCTGACTCTAGGGGGCGGTGCTCATCCCCGTTTCCAAGCCATAGAGCCAGTGTTTGTCCGAAGACAGTTTCCATGGTCATGTGGCCAGCATGACCAGACACGGAATGCCGTTACCTTCCCACTGTGGTGGTACCTATTTATCCACTCACATTTACATGCTTTCAAACTGCTAGGTTGGCAGGAGCTGGGACAAGCGACAGGGGCTCACTCCGTCACATGGGTTCGATCTTACGACTGCTAGTCTTCTGACCTTGCAGCACAGAGGCTTCTGCGGTTTAACCCGCAGCGCCACCAGTTAGCTCTCTTAGGTCATTGCAATAGCAGTCTATTACTATTTAGGATTAGGATTTTGATATAATATTGTTTTTCTGTGCAAAGGGATGGTGGTTTGGTATGCTGAAGTAAGGAGAGAGATGCATCGTCTTCTTTCAAAGAAGCTCAAATTTTGTTTTTCTCCCACCCACTCTAGGAAGCCACCTACAATTATTTTTAGAAACAAAAAGTGATCTAGATTTTTTTTTTTTGCCGGACTGAAAAAACAGATGACCTTTAAAAACACATGCGTACACAAATCAGCATTTATTTCATTTTGTGGAAAAGCTTCAGAAAAGTTTGGGGCGACTCTGATGAATAAAGTCTCGCCAGATGACAGCTTTGTAGGTGTAACCTTGGGAATGAATTTCAGGTTGTCACTGAAGGTAAGAAGCTGCTAATTGGAGGTGCAAATCCTTCATGCAGGCTTCATTCTATCTAGCTTAGAGAGACATTTCAAGCACCACTTGTCACCATTTGGGATTCTAAATCTTGACAGTTTGCTGAAACATCCTTTCCCCCCAAGGAGCACAGAAGGATGTCAACTAATTTAACCTTGCCTGCCTTACAGCAGTGACTCTCTATTTTTGGAGGGAATGGGAAGCCCCTCAGTAAACCAGGAATGCTTGAAGAGCTTAAATCTTCTGCTTTATCTACACACACACACACACCCGGGCAGACCACTCTTCAGAACACACACAAGGAATAAACAGATACCAATAACCTTTATTTCTTAATACATTACTAATTCTAGAATAAGTGGTCACATAGCTAGGGAACCTGGCAAATTTCCTCTTCCGCAACTCTAATTCCTAAAAACCTCTAGCTAGCATGGCCAATGGCACTGAGGGATTCTGGGAGGTGTAGTTCCAAAAAAGCAATTTTTCGATGCTCTGAACATGGTGGCTGGAATCTTATTGATCCATGCATAAGATACGCATAACTTGCCATTGCTAACTGCATTGAATTGATAAGGTGTCAGGACATAACTTGGTTGCACAAGCAGGC